TTTAAACAAAAGGAAGCTTTTCGTAGTGTAACAGAAATACTGGAAAAACAGAAAAATGAATTGAAATGAAGCTTAATACTACACGTGCATATTCACTCCAGTTCTACGCTAGGACAGCAGATACCTGCAATCTATCCATTTATTCAACAACTTACGATGTTCCACTTCTGTGACTCGTTACACACTACCTTGTAATATTATATATCCACGGATGCATCACCTACCTATAGGAATTAAAGGTCCCCTCAGAGTCTAAAGTAGAACTTGCTCTTCTTCCATTTTTATTTGAATCTCCTGGGGGGAAAAAAAATGAAGAGCGCTGAGATCATGGATAGTCCAAAGGTAAACGTTCAGGTGAGTGACTACTGCCTGACAGCTCCGTGTTCAAGAGCATTTATCCCCTTGTCTTTGCCCCAAACTACCTTTTCCACTCAGAGGACTCTGAGCCTTTTAGGCAAAAAGTTCATTTTGATCCCCAAATAAACGCGGCTACGGCCACAGTGAAGTTGGATAGCAAGACTACTGAGGTAGCCGCTCTGGAGCAAATGAGACCCAGAAAAAAAGCAGGAAATTTAAACAAAAGGAAGCTTTTCGTAGTGTAACAGAAATACTGGAAAAACAGAAAAATGAATTGAAATGAAGCTTAATACTACACGTGCAAATTCACTCCAGTTCTACGCTAGGACGGTAGATACCTGCAATCTATCCATTTATTCAACAACTTACGATGTTCCACTTCTGTGACTCGTTACACACTGCCTTGTAATATTATATATCCACGGATGCATCACCTACCTATAGGAATTAAAGGTCCCCTCAGAGTCTAAAGTAGAACTTGCTCTTCTTCCATTTTTATTTGAATCTCCTGGGGGGAAAAAAAAATGAAGAGCGCTGAGATCATGGATAGTCCAAAGGTAAACGTTCAGGTGAGTGACTACTGCCTGACAGCTCCGTGTTCAAGAGCATCTATCCCCTTGTCTTTGCCCCAAACTACCTTTTCCACTCAGAGGACTCTGAGCCTTTTAGGCAAAAAGTTCATTTTGATCCCCAAATAAACGCGGCTACGGCCACAGTGAAGTTGGATAGCAAGACTACTGAGGTAGCCGCTCTGGAGCAAATGAGACCAGAGACCGGCAGGTCCTTCCGAACCAGAGACGGAATCCGAGTTCATAAAACATTTAATTACATACGGATGTTTATAAACAAAGGCGATTTTTTCAGAGTGACAGAGTCACCCATCCTGACACCTGGGGCAGCCCAGAGAGAGGAGGCAGAGGGCCCAGGAAAGACTTTCCAGCCTCCAGCTTCTGCTCTCTAGACTTTAGTAAGAACAGAAGCAGACTTCAGAGGGAGCAATCAAGAACACGTTTTAATGAGCTTTTAATATATCTTAATATTCTTTCCACAAACTGTGCATTTTAAGTGTTAACTTTGTTTTAACTGCTGAAAGTTCCACGATTTAAAACATGAAAAAACATCAAAACGTAGTAGTTTTGCTTCCTATTATAATGTCAAACATTCAGAAAACATTTTTTTTCATTCAAGAAACCGGCATATTCATAAAAAGAAAATGAAATTGAAAACAAATACATTAGTTTCAAGATAATAGAATGAAAGTTTAAGTCCACTAGAAAAGTTTAAAAAATGTTTTTACCAATGCTCCATTTTAAAATATATACTCTTACTGATATAAACTTAATTTCGGAGTTCCAATTTTTTTTAAATATACATTTCAAAGTATAGCCCTAATGAAATCAGAGTTTACCCACATTACATATATCTGTTCTGCAAAACAAATTTAAAAGACTATAATTTGATAACTTTTGATACTCGTAATTCCAGTAATATAATATTCAAACAGCAGGCTATATTTATTTTTATAATATTTTAAGCTTAACAATTTAATGATTTGCTCAACTTTCATTTAAACTTTTAATCCACTTTGAACAATCTTAGTGCCACTGGAGACCATTGTAGCGGTCCTGGTTAAGTCAAATAATAATTATGAAGCTTTCACTTCAAACATGATATTATTTTTAATTATTGAGTATAGTACTCAAGGTACAATACTGACATAATTACGCTATTCACTGAATGGCTACTGAAAGCTGAAATGTAATTTTAAGGACAGCTACATATTTTACTTTACATAGTGTGTAGTTGAGAGATTAATCAAGAACATCACTTCTCTTCAAACGGTTGGTGAAATACTTGCAGCTATGCCAAAATTTTCAGGAGGCTGAGAACTGGACTGAACCCGTTTAGCTAACTTAATTCTATATCTTTCTCAAAATAAAATTGCAGGTTTGTTCATTTAGGATAAATTTCCTATAATGGATTGGGCATTTAAAAATGGTAAGAACTTACAGAATAAATAACCCAAGAACATTCAAGCGTGTAAGGTTAATTTAGCTGGATTTATGTTGCTGATTCTTTGAAAACACGAATAAGGTAAGATTATTCATATAACACAGTTCGTTCTCTTTAAAAAATTAATATTATAATAAACTACAAAGATAAAAGAAAAATTAGTCTCTGTTTTGCTAAACAAAAAATCTCCTATCGCACGTGTTAACAGCTTGTAGACACTTCCTGTGAAATAGTCCGCAGTCGGCACAGAAAAAGCACTGCAGCAGACATTTAAAACAGCCTTCTTTCCCCTTAAAACTGAAGACCCTAATTACTTAAACACACAAAATCTCGCCAATGAAGTAGTTCTTCTTTTGAGCTAACACATATCAGATTAAATTTAAAATCCTACAAATAATGAAGAGACGCTTTTTTCCTAACAATCGGGTTTTATCGCATTATGAAGGTTGTCTTCGGTTTGTAACCGTCTGTGAATAAGAATATCACATTAGACGTGACCCTCAGGATGTGAAGGATGGTAATAAGGGAGAAGGAGCAGACACGTCTTTACTCAAAAACACGTAAACAGGGAGAGCGACTGTTCCACTGGCGTGCGAGGGAAGATGGCAGAGTTTGTTGGAGTGAGGAAAACGGCAATAAAGTTTTGAAGCAGGGAATTTGTTGGACTGGGGAAAACGGCAATAAAGTTTTGAAGCAGGGAAAACTGCTTTGTTCCCTCAATCCTCTAGTTGAAATTAATTATAACAAATGTTTATGAAAACATCTGTTCCTTACAGTTATAAATTGTTAATTTTGGTAGGGCCGATTCCAGACTCTTACTTTGGAAGGAGACGGTCTCACTGTTGAAAGGTTTACAAAAGCACAGGCGAAATGAATCTGTAATTCTGGAACACGGCATGCGCTGTGCTACAACCTGTAGAGAGTTTCGTTTCTATGAGACATTTGGAGGGGCTTAGACCTGGTGTCTGGGAGGATTCAGACACACAGAAATCGCATCTTTCATTTAAGCTGTTAGACGACGAGAACGTCTCTGTAACATAAGAAGACGTCAACCAAAAATAACAAACGCGTGTTACTTTACCATGGAATTGAATGCAACGGCACCTGTAATACAGTATTAGTTTTATCAGGGATTTCATGAGAGCAGTGGCAATGCAGTCATGGGAAAAGACGTGCGGTGTTCCCTAAAACGCCAACAGAGGGCGCAAGAGAGTTGACCACGACGTCCGCAGTTGCTGCCGCGCTCGTGAGCTAAGTTGTCGGGTAGCCATAGCAGTCAGGAGGATGCACACAGGCTGTTCTCTGATCATGTGCACACACACAAATCGGTCATGAACGCAGTCATAAACAAAGACCTCTACACGATCAAATCCTGCAGGTACCTACATCTGTTTTAAGATGAACAGACCTCCCTTTCACTTGCTTAGAAAGTAATTTAATAATAAATTTTTAGAATGCAACTGTGATTTTAAATATACTTCAATAACTACTATACACTACCCCATTAAAGATGTGCAAATTATTTACATTTTAGGCATATGCATAAATTATTCACAATATAAATCATATGTGTTAGTATACATGCTTAACAATGAACATCATATCATATATCTACAGAAATAATTCATCAACTACTTGTGACCACAAAAATTTGAAATGGACATAGCGTTAAATTCTTATTAACGAGTTAGTAACGTTGTGAAATAAGTTACCAGTAATCCAAATTAAAATGAGTTTGCTAATCTGAAAAACTGACGTTAATCATTGCCCGGGATAAAATGTAGACATAAAAAGCATAAGTATGTCCTAACAGTACTTTCCAACATATATGTATCTAACTTATTGAGTCAATAATATGTAGAATTGTGACTTACATTTCAATACAGAATACATGGAACTCTGGGGTCTTATTCTCAGCTCTCCCCGCAGTCCTGTTTAGCTAAGGGATTTACAGACCCTGCCTGTGCTCTGTGTCCTGCTGCACCACGCTAAGCGAACGTTGCAGGAGACTCCTGTGGTACTTTTTATGCACACACATCTGCTCCAGGAAGGGAGAACCAGGGATGTAAACCAGGTTAAGTCAGAAGCAGCCGGGTGACACCATAAATAAGTCCACCTACTCTACATCTGAAAAACACTGAGTTTTAGAGTATCACATCAGGCCAGGCATAAATTCTGGAAAGTATTACATAATAAAGAACGGGTTTTTAGCTCCGAATTGTTAGGGAATTGTCACCAACTGTCTATGATGAATATTTAATAGTAGCAGGGTGAAAAAAAATGACGAGGTTCAATCTAAGATGAAAACAAAGCTTTGGGTTCCATTGTGGAAAAACCTGAAAGCTTTTGTGTCTTTTAAACGAATTAGTATACTCTGTTGAAATGATTTGGTTACCTTAAAATCCCTTATGAAATAAGTGACTTCAAAATCTATGAGTAAAATACACTTGTACGTTGATGTGGCACAGGCGAAGGATGGAGACACAGGAGCTCAGCATGGGGTCGCCATCGGCCTCCCTAATTATTTATGCTAAATGATTGATGCTAAAAATCCGGATCATCCATTTCATCTAAGAGCCAGTGATAAAGTCAATGCAGAAAGTTCACGAATTTTATAGTTATCCATTTTCTTTATTTATTCTTAATATTTCTATATTCTAATGATTAAATGGTCACATTTAGTTCTCTAATACTCTTTTTAAAATGTTTATTTATTTAATTTCATTTGTTATTAGTATTTTTTAATTCGACCAGAGAGAAAGGGAAAGTGAGAAAGCAAGACACCAGGTCCAGGATTTGAACTGTGGTTGGCCATGTGAGAAAGCAAGACACCAGGTCCAGGATTTGAACTGTGGTCGGCCATGTGGGAAAGCAAGACACCAGGTCCAGGATTTGAACTGTGGTCGGCCATGTG